CATCTGATGATCTGATTAGGAGAGTAGATGTTTTTATTTGACTTGTGTTAAGAAAGACGGAGGTAAACTTAGGAAAACTTGGGCTTATTGTATTAAAAATGATCTTAATTTACTAGAACTAAATGAAAATATGACACTAAATAGGACGCAATGGAGAAAAAGGATTCATATAGCCGACCCCACGTAGTGGGATTAAGGCTTTGTTGTTGTTGTTGTTGTTGTTCCATCTATATGAAACCATTTGCTCAAAGAGTAATCTATTATATCTTTTTCCAAATGATTCACAATGCCCTGAGGTTTTGCTAGCTGGAATATGATTCCAAAAGCATTTCCTTTTCGAATGTCAATATGATCACTGCCTTAATTTAGCTCATGTTAGTTCTCTTTTTTGTCATTGTTTTGTTTGCATTATCAAAGAATATGCTTAATATTCATTGATACTCGGTAATTTCACATATTGAGCAAGGTCCGTGCAGGGATTGAAATGGCACTGATAGATGCTGTTGCAAATAGCATCAACGTACCTCTTTGGAAACTATTTGGTGGTGCCTCCAAGTCCATTGTCACTGATATAACCGTAATAATCTTTCCTTGAATACTTTTCCCACCATTCCGCATTTCTCTCAACTTAAGGTTACTTCTCTGGAAAATGCAGATTCCAATTGTTGCTCCAAATGAAGCAGCTAAATTAGCAGCAAAATACAAGGAGCGAGGCTTTAGCACTTTGAAACTTAAGGTGGGAAAAAATTTAAGCTCGGACGTCGAAGTATTAAAGGCCATACGAATAGTTCATCCTGATTGTTCTTTTATCCTCGATGCAAATGAAGGATATACAGCTAATGAAGCAATTGAAGTTCTTGAAAAACTTAATGGTAGGCATGGCCAAGTATATTAAGTCATTTAGATATGTGCATCAATTTTAATTAGCCTTACAGTGTTGCTTTGCATATATTTCCAAACAAGCTCGCATTGTCATAGCAAGTTTAATATCTGCGGTGGACAAATTAGTTCAGTTTTGTTTCAAAATCCTCTTTCGCTCCTATTTCCATAATGCCGTCTTGTTGTTCTGTTTCAGAAATGGGGGTCACACCAGCTCTCTTTGAACAACCAGTTCATAGAGATAACTGGGAGGGTCTTCATCATGTTACGCAAGTAGCGAAAGGAAAATATGGTGTTTCTGTAGCTGCAGATGAAAGCTGTAGAAGTTTGGAAGATGCAAAGAGAATCATTGAGGGAAATCTAGCTCATGTTATCAACATTAAGTTGGCCAAGTTAGGCGTCCTGGGGGCTCTTGATGTAATTCAGGTTGCGAGAGCGGCAGGTACCAAGCTTATGATTGGTGGCATGGTTGAGACCAGGCTTGCCATGGGATTTGCTGGTCATTTAGCAGCTGGTTTGGGCTGTTTCAAGTAAGAGCCTAGAAATATTATTTCAGCACTTCTGATTTAAGTAAAACAGTGATCATTTACAAAGGATATTGATTTTTTTTTTTTAGCGGATTCTTTTGTCTGCTTGCATCTCATGTAGGTACATTGACCTTGATACACCTCTTCTACTATCAGAAGATCCGGTAGTTGGTGGTTATGAGGGTATTTTTTCTTCTGATCTCTATCGACTTTGTTTGATTTCTGCATATCTTTTCAATTATCTTTCGGATGAAGTAATGCACAGTTTGTTCAATCTCCGTTGCATTTATTTTGTTGTTTTTTTAATACTCAATTTCTTCAACAGTTTTTGGTGCTATCTATAAGTTTAATGACTCAAGCGGACAAGGTGGATTCCTACAATGGGATGGTATTTCTTAGTTGCCTTTATAATTTGCCAAAAATTTCATAATTTCACAACGAAATTTATAAAGAATTTTGTACAATATATTGTGATTACCATTCTGAAATGCTGTAACATTTAGAAGCCCTGAATTGTGAGTTTTGTATCGAACATTCGTTACAGACACCTATAAGTCATCTTTATTATTTTGAAATGAAAAACTGGAACCATGCTTCTATCTAAATTCATCTTTATACTATTTTGTTTTTCTGTCAGAATTTTTAGAAGCTATTTTCTCGACTAATGTTCTTTTCTTAAATTTAGGGTGTGTTTGGGGCAACTGTAACTTATTGAATAATCTGCTGATAAGCTAATTACAAATAATCTGTTATAAGCTAGTGTGGTGGTTATTATAAATTTTTATTGTTTGGAAATTAATAAGCTAGGTGTGGTGGTTATTATAAATTTTTATTGTTTGGAAAAATTTAGACCGCAACACAAATCAGGCTCTAGGTGCGGTGTAAAAACATTTTTCAGCGTTTTGAAAATACATAAACTGCCAAAATGCAGTTTACCCAAATGGCCAGGTGCGTTTTCAAAACGTCATCGCTCCAAATAAGTTGCCCCAAATGGGCCCTTAGTCAACAGTTTTTTGACAATCAATTTTTGGGAAAATAGGGAAGAAGCTTTGAGGCTTTAAAAATAATTAAGTGGTTATAGGGATGCTATCATCATCATCCTTCTGAAGTGCAACGGAAGGAGCTTTCCTTATTTATATATTTGGATTGGTTTTAATACATATACAAATTTGTATCTTGATAGGGTTTCTAAACAATGGCAGTTTATTGGAAGAAGGAAGTTTGTTTGGCGCTTGCGCCAAGCTGATGAGGTCAAGCCGTTCTACTAATGGAGGCTGGCTTGTCGTTCGACACATCTGCTAATGCAATTCTATTGAGTTTAATTATTGTTCGGGTTCAACGCGAACTTCTATTTTAAGATTGATTGGGAGACTATAAGCATTTAATTTTCTGATTTCATTTTTTTAAAAAAATTTATAGAAAAGATTAAGAGAATTAAATTTACAATAATGATTAATAAATATTTAGAATAAATTTGTCATTTCTGATTTGACGTGTTGTTGATTTCATCGCTTCCCATGCAATGAAATCAAAGGGTTTGCTTCAAACAACAGTTCAATTTTTACTCAACATCTTCCCTGATTTAGTACTATAACATCGTCTCTGCGAAGATACGAGTTCTGAGTGATAATTCTGATAGCATGTTGTATCATGATTTGGGAAGCTGAAGAGGAAAAGTTAAAACAAAAAACATGAAAAAGCAATTGAAGATTGAAAGGTGAAAGGAAGATGGATGGAAGTTTAGAAAAAAAGACAAAGAAGAAGGTAAAAATTGAAAGAGAAAAAAGTTCAGGTTCCAAAGCTAGGCTTTTCCCACTTGGTACCTGCTGACCTGTTTTTTTGGTCAATATTTTCGTAGCTTATATCCCTCCTTATTAGGAAATTGGACCTCCTCCCAGTGTCACTAGTTGGCTAAATTAAGCTCGGATAAGTTATGACTTAAAACTTTACTTGAGCGAAAATTTGAGCTAACATAAATATAAAATTTAACAAAATAAAATTAAAATTAATCAAACCAAAACAGAACTAAATATAAACAAATTCAGCTAAGCATTAAAATTGACCAAAAAATCAACTTTAACCAACATGAATATCAAAATTATTATTTTATCTACATATCATCTTAGAGCTTGAAACTTCATTCAGAAAGTTGTATGATGTTTATTATCATACATACAAATCATGCAATAAGTGTGATGATTATATAACATAATTTTTACTTAAAATATTTCATTTTGAATTTTCATACATGAATAGTGCTCAAAGTACCGTAAAATTATTTTATCCAAAGACCAATCCAGTGATTAGAACTTCTTTATGTAAGTTACATGATATTCACAATGACATATTAGAAGCATACAAACCTATTTGATGATGATCGAATACACTTCTTACGTAACAAATTTTAGTTTCAGTTTTTATGCATGAAAAATTGTCTTATATAAAAATTTTGTAACGAGTTATTATTTTTCAAAATAGAATGCATGAGTGCCTCTGAATCTTTGAAATATTTCAAATGAACCACTTCGTGCCCCAATTAAACTCTATTTAGGGCCGGTTAAGCCCACGCTATTTTGGGTAATAATTTTGATGATAAAAAAATAATTCTAATAATTCACTCAAAACAAACTCATATCTAAACTAAACTTCACCTAAAGTAAATAAGTTTAAAACACTTAATTAATCTATTAAAATTAACTAAAAACTTTCATTCAAAATCCACCAAATTTTCTCTTCTATGATGGGGCCCACTCTTTTACATGAAATATCATGAGATAGGGCCCACTCCAACCAAAATCAATTGCACCACTAATTTTCTTATATTTTCTCTACCAAATGAGCTAATGTCAAAATTTTGGCCATAACCACCTCGACCGCCCATAACCATCTAGCCACTTTAAATTGGAATATCTTGAGTTAGAGACTACTTCATCAAAACTAATTGTATCACCAAAGTTTTCGCATTTTTCTCATCCAAATGAGCTAGAGTTTTAATTTTGGTCATAAACATCATAACTAACCTCTCCCGAATTCAATTTTCCCTCCAAAAGTTCAAATTTCCATCTCTTCAACACATAACTCCTTCCTGCATTTTTCTCCCTGCTGAAACCCTGCTCCACTCAAAGTTCCTTCACTTGGTTGAGCACCCCAAGCCTGTCCCTCCTATTCTCTTGCTCAAAATCCTTACCCACTTCTCTTACATGTGTATGAACTGTGCAAATTGGGCACCCTAATTCTCCAATTTTATATGTTTATATTATGCTTTGAGGAAGGTTTTGTCGTGGTTTTGCAGAATGCAGGAATATGGAGCAAATGGAGCTCAGAATATTGCTGATCAGAGCATAGTGATGTTTTGGTGCCTAGATGTCAGATCCAGTCCAGAATCTTGAACAAAATAATAGCCTGGAAATTAGGCACCGCGAAAGTTGCACATATGCGCTGCTCATGTGGGCTTTGGCTCCAAGTGAACATGAATTTTTCACAGGAAACCCAAGAGCTTGGAAAGTTGGTGCTGCATTTGCAGTTTCTGGGTGCCACAGTACACTGCTTAGGCGCCGTGACACTAGTACCTAGGCACCGCGACACTAACGCGTAGGCACCATGACACAAACGCCTTGATAGTGCAATTACTTAACTATATAAGGCGCATTTGCGCCAACCGCTAGCGCCAAGGCACCAGACTGTGAAAATCTATGATTCCTATAGTTAGATGCAATCTTTCAGCAGGAAAAGTTGTACACAAAGTAGTTGGGGCTTGCTCTCTTATTTTTGAACTTCTAGTGCTAAAGGAAGAGTTTTTCCTTCTAGATTGTTTGAGAGAGGGAAATGAGCGTGATTGTAAGAGCTTAGTGAGTATTTTATGAGGGTGTTTTTGAGAAACATTGGAGAAGATCAAGAGCATAACAGAGAGGAGGCATCACTATCTTTTATGGTTGTTTTTTTTGTTTTTCTGTTTTAGTTTGATTTTCATTAAATGCTTTGTAATGTCTTCTCTTTGAATGAAACGATGATGAATTTGTGTTACAAAGAATGTTTGGGAACTAATTTTCTAGTTTCTCTCTTAAGTTGTTGAATGAAAGCAATGGGTTTTGGTGAATGTTTTGCTTGTTTTTAATTGTGATATGGTGTTAATTTCTTTGTGATCTTTATATACTTCAAAACGAGCCATTTGTATAGTTAAAAATTCTGTGAACTTTGTAATGCAGAAGCATACTTAGTGGAACATAGTGGAGGAATTCACTAAAACATGAGAATAGGAACATTGCTCATGGATTAGTGCTCTCGGATGAGAAATAATTTTCATTGGAAATTTCATTGGTTGTAGGGAACTCTAGAGATTTAATATGCTTACTTAGTACCACTGGAAGGGGGCTAAGGAACTCTTTTGCTCCTGTTAGACACCACCTTTGTCATTTAACCTAACTTAGGTTTTTAGGATTCAATTTTTTTTTTTTTGGGGGGGGGGGGGGGGCTCCCACGACTGAGCTCGTTCCCTGTGGGATCGACTTTCAGTACTCTATACCAATTACTATTGATATGACATGTGTACTTATATGAGTAGTCAATGCTTCACCGTACTTGGATTGTATCAAGTTTTTGGTGGCATTGCCAGGGAATGATAGTGAAGTTCAATTAAAAAAAATTAGTTGAACTTCTAGGACTTAGATTTAAAAATTGTTTTGTTATTTTTTAACTTGTTTCTCTTTTCTTTTATATCAAAAATTTAAAAAAATATCTTATTAGTTTCTTGTTAATTTTGTGCACTTGTACCATGCTTTTACTTACCGAAAAGTTTCTGTTGCTTGCTTGCTGCCTAACTTTGTATTTAAGTTTGTTTATCGCTTACTCTATTATTCTTTGATTTCACTTATATTTTGTTGCTACTCTTGTTAGCTTAGGGTCATTTCGTGTGTTAACTTAATATTGTATGTGTAGTTTAGGACCTTCATACCTTGAACCCTACGACCCCGAGTTAGAGAGAATAGTTAAAAAAATCAAAAAATTAAAAATAATTTAAAAAAGAAATAGGAGAGATGGCACACATACCTCATAATGAACCAAATTCCCATGGAAATAATGACATGCTTTGACCTCTTAGGGAATTTGCAAACTCTACGGCAGATGAAACCCACTTTAGCATTAATACCTCAACTGTAGAAGCCAACTCTTTCGAATTGACATCTGTCATCATATAGATGGTGCAGAATAACTAGTTTGGGGGGTGGACACCATCAAAAGACCCTAATTTGCACATAGAGAGCATTTTAGAACTGTGTGGCATATTTTTCTATAATGGTGTCTCCAGCAACGTCGTAAGGCTAAGACTTCTTTTTTTTTCTTTGATAGATAAAGCTAAAATGTGGCTTAATTCCCTAGCTTCTGGCTCTATGACAACCTGGAATGAATTGACATGAAAATTTTCAGTCAAGTATTTTCCACCATCTAAAATGACCAAACTTATGAATGATATTACATCTTTTAGCAAATTTTATGGAGATTCAATTTATGAAGCCTAGGAAAGGTTTAAGAAGCTCCTTAGGAAGTATCTCCACCATGCATTTTTTGAATGATTGACATTCA